GTGGAGACCTCCTTCCAGCCCGTTGCCCCAGGAGCCCTGGGACGCTGGGGAGACCCAGCGGTGCTGCGACCTTGAGTGGAGTCGCAGTGCTCAGAGCGCTGATTTGCATGGGGGGGCGGAGCGGGTCTTCCTCCAGGAGGGATTTAAGGAACGGCGCAGGAGGCAGCCCGGCAGGGCTTCCTTCCATCAGAGACCCAGACTCTTCGGGAGCCGTCGCCATGGGCTGGGCACTGATCCTTTGCACGCTTCTCACTTACTGGACAGGTAAGGGGTGAAAAGCGCACTTTCCTGAGAACCCAGAAATGGCCTCTGTGTTCCTTTTCGTGTCTTCCCAGAAGTGTATTGAATGGAAGGCGTGACACTGCTCTCTCCCTTTTCGCACAGGTGCCAGCGCACAACGAGTTGTAACTCAGCCTCCGTCGCAGTCTGTGTCTCTAGGCCAAACCGTTAAACTCGCCTGCACTGCAAGTCCTGCAGGAAACTGGTATTTCGGCTGGTACCGACAGCAGCCTGGGCAGCGTCCCCAGTTCGTGCTGTCTGGAAGCAGCAAGGGAGAAGGGATCCCGGATCGGTTCTCGGGCTCCAGCAATTGGGGGAACCCCAACTATCTAACCATCACCAATGCCCAGGCTGAAGATGAGGCTGAGTATTACTGTGCTGCCTGGGAAGATAGTGTCAAGCTGTCTCACAGTGGTTGATTCTGAGGGGGAACTGAGACAAGAACCTCCACTCTCCATCCGCAAGGGGCAGCAGGAAGAAACAGCAGAGAGCTCAGTCCCACCGTTGGCTGCAGAACCGCTGGTTACTGGCGCAATTTCAACTGCTCTGAACAGCTCCTGGGCAAAGCTCCCACTCTCCCTCTTTGACACCAGCTCCTGGGATACCCGTTTCCCTGCTCTCACATCACGCCTCCTGTTTTCCCCTGCACTCAACTGGAGCATCCCTGAAGGCTGTCAGGGACAACTAAGGGAAGGCCAAAGATTCCAGGCCTTCCCCTCCTTCTGCTCCCCAGCCTGCATTTTATTCCCTGTAACTGACGGAGAACTACAAGGCACCCTTTGCTGGAAATAGGAAAGTCAGAGTTTTGTGTCATCAGATTCACCCACTTCCCTTCCTTGTTGAGAATTGTTGTAAGCATTTACTTCCACTCAGACTGATGGCTGCTGCGGCTCACTTTCAGCTGCTGTGGTGTGAGCATCTGCCCAAATCCCCAAAGTGCTCCATCTCCAGGGGAGAAAGGGCTTGAGAACTCTGGAACCAGCTGCCCGGGCAGGAGAGCCAAGTCAGCCCTCCCTGCTCCTTATCCTCACGTGCATTTGGCTCCGGCTGTCAAGGAGGATGGACACCTGGGGATCTGGTCAGCCTGGAAGATGCCACTGGGCAGAGGGGGCACACTCAAGGGTCCAAGACAGCTACGCCTCTTCTCCCTCCTCCACAAGCTGGAAAAAAGCATTTCCATGCACTACAGTTTCCTTTGAATCTTAAGTGTCCTATTGCTGGCAATGAGGAGAAAAATGGTTCTTCCTTCATCAACTGTGCAAAGACATATCCAACAGGCACAGTGAGGCTCCCCCTATCACTGGATGCTTCTCTGGGCCTCTGCAAGTCACTGAGCTGCACAAGGCCAC